AATGCAGCGAAATGCAACCAGATGCAACGAAATGCAACGAAATGCAACCAGATGCACTCATAGTCCTTGTGATCCACCAGCAACAAGAATTTTTTTCTATTTTTCTTTTCATTATCTTCTTTTCATTATTCTTTTCATGAATATCAAGTTTGGGAGTGATTTGAGAAATTTGTCTGGTAAATAGTCGGTTCTTCCTTTTAACATTCTCGTAATGAATCCAAGTTTCATCAGATGTCAAAATCAAATCCCAAAAACCACCAGCTTTATTGAGCAAAAAAGAACTGGCATTAACACGAGTTGTTGTTGTCTTGAGCCAGTTTGCACGGGGCCCATTTTCACAGCGAATTTTTTTTCCAAGTTGATGCAAATGGTTGTCGATTGTCTTCTGATCTTCTGATCAATATCAAACATTTCTGCAAGCTCACAAGTCGTGAGTTGACGTCAATTGACGTTGACGTTGGTTGACATTGGTTAACGTCAATTGACGCTAACGTTGGTTGACGTTGGTTGACGTCAATTGACGTTGACGTTGGTTGACATTGGTTAACGTCAATTGACGCTAACGTTGGTTGACGTTGGTTGACGTCAATTGACGTTGACGTTGGTTGACGTCAATTTCAATTCCCCAATACGAAATTCAAAACGAGCATTATTTTTTCCTAATCCTCAACCGCAACCTTTCCTCAACCTAAAAGCTGGACAAAACGAGATAAACCCAAAGGTTGAACTGGGATTTTCTAGGTTGTCTGGAAGAGCTTTATACTGTTAGATAGGCCAAAAATTGAGTTAACCAATGGTTTTCTGTTAGCCAATGGTTGGCTAGAATAGAATATCTTAAAAATCGGATACTTTCAAAGCCAAGTCAACCTGGGCTCAAATTTGTAAACACCCCTTCCTATCGCACTCAATTCCTCATTTTCCTCGACGATGTCGCAAGAAAACAATGGCTCCAGTGCACTAGAAAGGGTGCGTTTACAAGCGAGCTACATTTCTCTATAAACTTTCCTTTTTTTGTCAGACATTTCTCTTAACTGAGTCATAGCTTCTCAGTCACTCGTGTCGAAAAAATCGTGTCAAAAAAACGGGTCTTTTTTGTTGCATTGTCTCATAAAGCTTACCCTAGAAGGTCACAGGTGAGACAATGAAAGAAAAGAATGGAAAAAGGGAATGGAAATTGGAATAGTCAGATAAAAGTCAGATAAAATCGATTAGCCAATTGTAAGGCTGACTTTAATAGCCGAAAATGAATCCATTGCAAGTGATTGTGACAGTTGCACTCGTAAAATAGCCATCGGACACAGTAGAAGCGATAAAATTGTCACCTTTGCTGGGAGGGAAAGGAAAGTTTCTTTCCCTGGCGTTTTCTAAAATCTGTCTACTTTCTCGAGTACCGTAATCTTGACTGCAGTTTCTATTTGCTGGTTGCTGACCAATAATCTTATTCCTATCGTATTCCGGGGTTTCTAGAAAGGATACTTGCAGTGTCAAGTATCAGGTAAACACGAGATTCATCCGTTTGCCAGACAAAACCAGATTAAAACTAGATCTTGGGCAGTAGAGCGTGGGGCACTAGAGCGTGGGGCACTAGAGCGTGAGGCACTAGAGCGTGGGGCTCAGGCTCAGGCTTAGGCTTAGGCTTAGGGGCACTAGAGCATGGGGTACTAGAGCACTTTACTTTAAACATTTCTCATCCTCACCTATCAATCTCATCAAAAATTGGGGCTATACGGTCCAGGAGGCTGAAAACTTTGCAAATTTCGCTTTTTGTATGCTAATTTTTGTTTCCAGTTATAATCTAATGAATAATCTATAATCTAAAGCAAAAAATTAGTTGTTTTTTCTTTGGTAACAACATTTATGAATTAAAATGAGCATTATCAACAACAATACAACAAGAAAACTTAATTCAGAGGATAACGATCAGCAACAAGTTCTCAGAACTCATGCATCAAGCTATGCTGCCACTTCCAGGCTTCATAGTAGGCTTCATAGTAGTGGTCGTCTCAAAGCTTGCCCTTTAATCCGTTTCACTTAATCTGACGCTTAAGCTGGCTTCATACTGCTATAATTTGGTTCTAGTGCCGATTCTTCTTCAAATCGGTGCCAATTCTTCTTCAAACCAAGGCAAACTGGACTTCAAACCAAGACAAACGAAAGCCGAAATAGAACCGGACTCCGTCTTGGCTTTTGACTAAGCCTGTAGGTTCTAGAGTTGGAAGATCTTGGAAGATCTTGGAAGATCCTGATTTTGGTGCTTTCATTGAAGAGTTACCCTAATAGTTCCCCTACTAGTTCCCCTAATAGTTCCCCTAATAGTTACCCTACTAGTTCCCCTAATAGTTCCCCTAATAGTTCCCCTACTAGTTCCCCTAATAGTTCCCCTAATAGTTACCCTAATAGTTCCCCTACTAGTTCCCCTAATAGTTCCCCTAATAGTTCCCCTAATAGTTACCCTAATAGTTCCCCTACTAGTTCCCCTAATAGTTACCCTACTAGTTCCCCTAATAGTTCCCCTAATAGTTCCCCCAAACTCTGACTCATTCTATTTAACAATGAGAACCTTGTGAACTTGTCAAGATTGTCAACTCATGCTCAGCTTCCTTCAATTTCTTGTCATTGTGACTCCATTCCAAACCATCATCCCTCCCTTTTCCCTTCATTTTTCCCTTTTTTTCGATTGGCTGCCATTTTCACAATCTCCTCTGTTTGAGTGATTTCATCTTGTCTCAAAAACTTTTCTCTTTTCCTCTTAACCTCTCGAAAACTTGCTTTCACTGTCAATCGGTTTGGCTTTCACTTACGCCAAAATAGTTCTTCTAATTTAGGCATTGATTGACTATTGATTACTATTAGCTTGTACTATTAGCTTGTACTATTAGCTGTTCCCAAGCTTGTACTTTTTTTTTCTCTAGACTCTTCCCTCTAAACTCTTCACTCTAAACTCTTCACTCTAAACTCTTTTTGTAAAAGCAGCTAACAAATGTCTAACTTATTTCAAAAGTGAGAAGTGTTATAGAGAGAATTAAAGCCCGGAATCTTGGCTACATCTATATACCAAAAGTTTTTGAATTGGAGTCATACAACTCGTGTGACAAGCTTTTGAGTAAGCGCTACTCAGTCTCTTTCCGGCACGTTGCCATTTTTAACGATTGCTGCTCTAGCCGTGCTGCTCTAGCCGTGCTGCTCTAGCTGTGCTGCTCTAGCTGTGCTGCTCTAGCTGTGCTGCTCTAGCTGTGCTGTTCTAGCTGTGCTGCTCTAGCTCTATAAATTCATTGAACTTCACTCTAAACTTCCTAAAGCACTTCCTAGAGCATTCTTCATTTTTCTAACGACATCAAGTTGTTGCTGGAAGAAAAATAAAGAATTCAATGCACAGAAAGGTATGGTTACAAAGGATTGCCGGAAAATCCACTGCTGGATTAGTTTTCAGCTCAGGCTCAGCTAAGCCTAAGCCTTCAATGACAATTTGCAAGAGTCAATCATGTCATTGCAACCTTTTACTGTCCCTGTTTGCCAATAGATTTAAATTTTAGATCTGATACTAGTCAATAAACGTATCTAATCATAAATCTAGTCAATAAACGGCTCGCTAAAGCTAGATTTTACTCTAACCTACCCAGTTAGAGTGAAAGTAAAGCTTTACTTGATGTAAAGCTTTAGTAAAGCTTTACTTGATGCATTTTTCAATGTCTTGTTTCACTTTTTCGTTGCCAACACATTTTTTTTCGCAAACTGGAACGCACAACACTTATTCTAATTGTTGTTTTTGTTTTAAATGCAAATTTGACAACTTTATATTCCAGGCTAGACAACTGGCTTCGATTCTATAAAATTTCTATGAAAGCTTTGTAAACTTTTCTTAAATTTGTTCAATCTGGAACTCAACTTTGTTTTTTGTTCAATCTGGAACTACACTTTAATATAAAAACATAGAGAAAATCTCAGTCAAAGTCAGACTACCTACTCGAAAGGGTCGATCCACTTAAATGGTCTATAACTCAAGATGTAAAAGTTGAATCAACTCACGGTTACTTTTGTTAGAATCTACATGAAATTTGATTAAAGAAATATAGAATCTGTTATGTAGACTTACCAATAAAAACATAGAGAAAATTAGGGTCAAAGTCGAGATAAGTGTCTACCCGAGGTTACCCCATACCTAGGTTACCCCCATGCCTAGGTTACCCCATACCTAGGTTACCCCATACCTTGGTTACCCCATACCTAGGTTATCCCATGCCTAGGTTACCCCATACCTTTTTAGTACTGAAACCGAAGTTTCACGACTCTTCTCTTTCCCTCCATATCTCCACTTCCAGTTTACCGATCAACTTGTGGTTGGTCTTAAAATGTTTCTTATGAAATTTCGTTATAGAAATTCACAACTTACTTATTACACTTTAATATAAAAACATAAAGAAAATCTCAGTCAAAGTCAGATTACCTACTCAAAAGGATCGATCCACTTAAATGGTCTATAACTCAAGATGTAAAAGCTGAATCAACTTCTGGTTACTTTCCTTAGAATCTACATTAAATTTCACTGAAGAAATATAGAATCTGTTATGTAGACTTACCAATAAAAACATAGAGAAAATTAGGGTCAAAGTCGAGATAAGTGTCTACCCCTCCCTAGAGAATTCCCTGATTTTATTGGGGTATAGTCATGATACCCCAATAAATTTAATAAACACATTTTATTCATTCAAATACAGTTAAACCGTTGTAACTCAAAAATTTCTTACACTCATTTTCTTTCTTTGTCCGCCCTATCTTTCTTTTTTGATCTCAATTATTATTTTGAGGGTCATTGTGTAAATTCTCTCTCATTTTTTTTGACAGTTTCAAGTTGTTTTTCGATTCTTAGCGTTCATTTTTTATTCATTTTTAGAGAAATCGAGTGAAGCGGAGGGTTTTTGGGAACAAAGAAAAATTGAGCAGAAGAGAACTGATTTAGAGAGAACGGAGAAACTGCTGAGGAGACTGCTGAGGAAACGAATATGCCTTTATTGGTCAGTTTTCGTTTTAGAAGTGATTTAGGGATTTTTGGGGGGAAAAAGTATTGAAAAGAAGATTATGATGTGTACACTGGACATGGGAAAATTCCAAGCTGAACCCAATTTTCTTTTCGTTAAGAAAAGAGGTTGTCCGATGAAAAGTGGTTTGACATTTGGCACATAACCATCAAAACTTTCCGAAACGATTACGAAAATTTATTCAAGTTTAAAGGAGGTCACTTTGAAGAATAATTTTATATTTTATTATCTTCAATGATTGTTAAATGATTTTTAAGATATCTATAAAAAATTCGGATCTTTCCTAATAGCAGCGGCCCCAGGGGATTATCGGCGGCCCCATGCGATTATCAGCGGCCCCATGGGATTATCAGCAGCTCCAGGGGATTATCAGCGGCCCCGGAGATTATCGGGGGCCCCATGGGATTATCAGCAGCTCCAGGGGATTATCAGCGGCCCGAGGGGGTTATCAGCGGCCCCAGGGGATTATCGGCGGCCCCATGGGGTTAGCAGCGGCTCCAGGGGGTTATCAGCGGCTCCAGGGGATTATCGGCGGCCCCATGGGGTTATCAGCGGCTCCAGGGGATTATCAGCGGCTCCAGGGGATTATCAGCGGCTCCAGGGGATTATCAGCGGCCCCATGGGGTTATCAGCGGCTCCAGGGGATTATCAGCGGCTCCAGGGGATTATCAGCGGCTCCAGGGGATTATCAGCGGCTCCAGGGGATTATCAGCGGCTCCAGGGGATTATCAGCGGCTCCAGGGGATTATCAGCGGCTCCAGGGGATTATCAGCGGCTCCAGGGGATTATCAGCGGCCCCATGGGGTTATCAGCGGCTCCAGGGGATTATCAGCGGCTCCAGGGGATTATCAGCGGCCTCATGGGATTATCAGCGGCCCCATTTTTTCAAGGAGATTAACGGCGGCCCAAGATTATTGACGGCCTACTACTTCTGACGTTTTTCACACATTTATCCGATAACATTTAGGCCTTGTAAACCAACGCAACATTTACACAAATATTTCTCACACATTTACGAAAAAAAAAATAATCTCCTGGGGCCGCCGATAATCTCCGGGGCCGTCGCTATTAGGGCGCCACCAAAAATTCTTGTAAATTAACAAAAGATCAATGCTCGAATTTTCGTGATGATCAATGATCGAATCAATCAATGATGATCGAATCAATCAATGATCAATGATCAATGATTGTTCGAGACAAATGTTTGACTCGTGTTTGACCGATCAGATCTCGATTTCTAGAGCAGCAAATTGTTTCATTGAATCTGCAAATTGTTTCATTGAAAAGCCAAGAATGTCAGCTTTTGATTGCTATTTTATAGTGACTTTTAATGAGTAAGCACCTTATAATCCTTATCGATACTTAGCCAGATCGAAAGTATCGATTATCGATCAGCTTATCGATTTTTAACAGTGTTGAGCGAGGTTTCGGCAGTTTCAAAACAACTCTCTTATAAGTTTCATAAGAAAAGAGAAATTCCTAGTTTGAACTAGCATAGTCTATCAACAATTTCTAGATATTCTTGCTGTTGAACGGCCTACTCGGCTCGACGCTAGCCGGTGGGGTGAGCGGTGGATACGCGGGCCCAGCTCCGGCCCTTCCACAATACTCAGGCTCACCCCCAGTCGGTTTCCCACCTCCAGCTCCTCCACCCGGCCCACCACCCAGTCCACCATATGCTGCTGGAGCTGCTTTCCCACCGCAACAGGTAACAACATTTGAAACTCTGCTGGAGCGCTCTGCTACAGCGCTCTGCACTTCGAGTTTTACTACTCCAATCTCTGCATTTTGTAGGCTGAAGTACTGGCGAAGCAAGCTTTAGCAAGTTTTAGCAAGCCTTAGGCAAGCTTTAGCAAGCTTTAACAAGCTTAGAACCAGATTTACAAGTTCAAGATTGGTCCAAAATTGAACTGGAGTACTGATAGGTCCCACTTTTGGCTAGTTAAAATTTTCATAAAGAGATTACTGTACTTTTCGACGATGATTTACATATTTCAACCATTTAATCTTGTTATCTGGAACTCACGACGGTTAGTTATCGATAAAATAATGGGATTTGGAGGAAATCGATGAGTGGTGATACTGTGACTGAGTTTTGAAGGGATTACTGTACTTTTCGATAACAATTTACATATTTTAACGATTGTAGATTGTTATCTGGCACACAGCACGGCTAGAAATTGAAAATTAGGGTAATTGACAGAAGTTTAGCAAAAGATATAGATAGATAAAGGATTTGTTTGTAATCCCCATTGATATATTTTACAGTTATAGATATAAATTTCAGGTAGCCGCGTCTCCCGTTGGCAGCAATATTGTCGGCGGCGCTCCGATTCTCGGTGGTGCTCCGGTTGGTGAAGCTCCCGTTGGCGGAGCACCAATCCAGTGGGTTTTATACAGTATTATATTATTTGTTATTGTATTACTGTATTATATTATTTGTTAACTATTGTATTTGATCAGGGTGTAAAGAAAAATAATGCGCGCTTCCAATTTCCATTTGCATCAACTTGGGAAAAAGGTTCGACATGGAAAATGGGTTCCAAATGAGCCTGACCCAAGGTCACATGAGCTGACCCAAGGTCACATGAGCCTGACCCAACATTTCGGACGTTAAAACACTTCTTTGGAGGTGTACAGTTTCATAATCAAGTCATAAAAAAGCTCTCTCTAAAAAGCTCACACCTAAAAAGCTAAAAAGCTATTTTGCCTCCAAGAAATCGTTTGAATTCGAAAATGCAATCCAGGAGATGCGCAGAGGCTCCTGGATTGCAGAAGATGGGAAGAAGCCATTGATAAAAATGGAGAATAATTTACCGATTGATCTTTGCTTGTTCGAGTTTTTTCAAGAAATAGTTTTGATTAACTCGATTTGCTTTTAAAAAACTCGCTTTATTTTTTTGTTGCGCTCTGAAAAATCAAAGGATAGAAGTCTTATTATAGAAGTCTTATTATAGAAGTCTTATTACAGAAATCTTGTTATAGAAGTCTTGTTATAGAAGTCTTATTTGTTTTATTATAGAAGCCAGGCAATCGCCTCAGCTGGCCCCGACTTTAACCCGGCATTGATGGGCGGAAACAAGGTTAGTAATGAAAAATTTAGTCATACTACAGTAGCCAGTCAGGCTCTGTAGTATGAGCTACAGAGCCTGACTGGCTACTGTAGCTACAGTATACTTTAGATCTATCCTTTTTTAAGCATAGTACTGCTTTAGGGATACCCGGGCCTTCGTGGTCGCATCAATCAACGAGCTTTCCAATACGCGTCGTCGATGATCGGCAATCTCCTCAACTCGGAGATTCAAAAAGCTCGCTTGCCGCCGATCAGTCAATGCATTCCGCAAGTGAGTTAAGCTCTGCTTTCTTAGCTTAGGCTAAGGAAAGCAGAGCTGCCCAGCTCAAGCTGTAAGGCTAGGATTCGTAAGGCTGGATTCGTAAGGCTAGGATTCGTAATAATCGATCCAGATTATCACTATCATGATTTTCCAGGTGAATGGCTGTCTTCAAGTCTACAATCTTTATGTTTCGCGGTATCGTTGCCCACAACGAATCGCTCTCTATCCAGCACCGCCAAATCGAATTGTTGTCGCTGTTGAGAATCTCGATATCGGGTAATTGGACACCTGAATAAATCCATAGCTCGCGTAGAACACTAAACTAAGACTGTACTATATCAATGAGAACTGTACTATATCAATGAGAACTGTACTATATCAATGAGAACTAATTCCCATCATTTCCAGAGTCACCGGAAATCTTGGCGGTCAAATCGTCATCCTTCTCCCGATTGCCCTTTTTGGTATCGTTCAGGCGAATCTCCATCAAGTCTCCATCTACGTTGATCTCACCATTGGAAGGTTTGGGAAATAAAATCTAGCGTAGCCTGTTCTTTACCGTAACTAACAGGCTACTGGAACCCGTAAGCTATCGTAGCTCGTAGGCTATCGTAGTCCGTAATCCGTAAGCTACCGTAACCCGTAACCCGTAACCCGTAACTCGTAACCCGTAACCTACTGTGACTCGTAACCCGTCAACTACCGTAGTCCGCAAGCTACCGTAAACCGTAAGTTATCGTAAATTGCAGGCTACCGTAACCCGTAACCCATAACTTACCGTAATCCGTAAGCTACCGTAACCCGTCATTCGCAAGCTACCGTGATCCGTAAGCTACCGTAATCTGTAATCCGTAAGCTACCATAGCCCGTAACCCGTCAACTACTGTGACTCGTAACCCATGAACTACCGTAATCCGTAAGCTACCGTAACTCGTAGGCTGCCGTAGTCCGTAATCCGTAAACTACCGTAACCCGTAACCCGTAAACTACTGTGACTCGTAACCCGTCAACTACCGTAGTCCGCAAGCTACCGTAACCCGTAAGTTATCGTAAATTGCAGGCTGCGGTAACCCGTAACCCATAACCTACCGTGATCCGTAGGCTACCGTAGCCCGTCATTTGCAAGCTACCGTGATCCGTAAGCCACCGTAATCTGTAATCCGTAACCTACCGTAGCCCGTAACTCGTAAGCTATTGTAAACCACAGGCTACCGTAACCCGTCAGCTACCGTAACTCGTAGGCTACCGTAGCCCGTAACCCGTAAACTACCGTAAGCCGTAAATCACCGTAACCCGTTAGGTATCGTAACTCGTAGGCTTCCGTAAACTATCATAACCCTTACGCTATCGTAATCCTACCGTAATAAACAAATGCCTTTTAGAACGGCGACCGGAGCTCCATCGATCCAAGTGGGCAGCTGCAATGTGCAAATCGGCTACGCGGATGTTTACATTCAAAATGGAGGACTCGTCGGCGACATTGCGAACAGTCAATTCAGGGTATACTGTAATTTAAGCGTTTAAAAGCCTAGGCGTAGTTTAAAGCTTTTCTTTTCTAAATCCAGCATTTACGCAAATTTTACAGGGTCGTATCTCATCGATGGTGAAAGAGATGGCACCGAGCAAGATCTGCGCCCAATTGCCCTCGATCGTCAACGAAAAGTTGAATGGACGGCTGGGAGGTTTGGAAAGCTATCTATAGCTTCTAGAGATAGCTCAAGGCTATCTATAGCTTCTAGAGATAGCTCAAAGCTATCTATAGCTTCTAGAGATTATCTAGCTTCTAGAGATTATCTAGATTATCTATTTTTAATCTCCAAATTATTGATTTGCCGTATTTTACCGTATTTTACAGGCCTTCCACAAACGATTGCCCTCACCCAAATGGCCTCTTTGTTCGGCAGCGCGCTTGGACTTGGCGGTGGCGCGCAAAGCACCGCTCCTTCAGCTGAATATGTAAATTTAGTAAATAAATACAAAAATATACCACAATATACCACAATATTACATAAATTTATTATATTATAGAATAGATATCTAAAATAAAACACTTAGACTTTACAAGAATCGTTTCTGACTTCTCAACTGACAAAAAACTTCTCAACTTCTCTTTGTACCTGTATTTTAAGACTCATATTGATCACTGAATAGTTAAAAATACGAAAATATACTAGTTAAATAGATTTGAAACCTTTTTACTGTATTATAATGAATTTCAAGTGCACGAGCTCTTGCGGAAAGAGCGCCTCAGCGTTGACCTCTTCAGCTCCATCAGCTCCATCGCTTTCAGTGGGTTTTAAAGCTTAAAGAATAAAATATAGATGATAATAATATAGAACTATTGTAGATATATTGTAGCTTGAAAAAACTGTAGAATAAACCTCCAGAGTTCCTCATCGATCGTCGGCGGTGCCCCGCTTGAGGGCTACAATGACGCCGCTGGAGCCGCAGCTCAAGCACCAGGTTAAATTTGGATTTTTGTAGTTTATGTTATTAGATATTAGATATTTAGATATCAAATAATGTTTTCAAGATCTAAACTTATCAATTTTTAATGGAAACATTCGAATTTTAGCCCGCAAAGCCGTCCGTGCCATCCCCATCTACCAGACACAAGCGCACCATCAGGTGAGGAAATTGAGCCTGACTTTGATCCTAACTTAGAGCCTGTAATAGCCTAAGCTTAAGCTTAAGCCTAAGGGCGCATGAGCATCGCCAAGCGGGTGTCCCTTAGCTCCGAGAACTGGCTGAGATCCAGAAAATGGGGGTTCAGCCCAAACCCAAATAGACTTAGTGCTAGGCGCTAACCGCTAGCCTTCGCACTAAGTCCAAGCCTAAGCCTAAGTCCAAACCTAAGCCTAAGCCTAAGCCTAAGCCTAAGCCTAACCAAACCCAAATAGACTTAGTGCGAGGCGCTAGCCGTTAGCCTCCGCACTAGGTCCAAGCATAAGCCTAAGCCTAAGCCTTCTAATAATAGAATATACCGTATTTACTCGAATAGAAGATCGGTCTTCTATTCGAGGTCTTCTATTTCTATCACCCCCTAGACCCCATCTTTTATTCGAGACGGTCTTCTATTTTTTTCGATCATCCCCTAGACCCCGTCTTCTATTCGAGACGGTCTTATAATCAAGGCCGGTCTTCTTTTCGAGTAAATACGGCAGATCTAATCTACTATATATATCTAACAAGTCTAACAATATATTTAGAAATTCACAATGACTAACAGGTTCAACAGAGTTTGTTTGTTCAACAACAGTTTGTTCAACAACAATGTTTGTTTTCCTAGCAACTAACTGGAGAATTGCAATAAGTTGTATGAGAAAAAGCTACCGTAATCTTGATTAAAACGGTAACAATACTACGGTAGCTTTTTCAAGTTCACCTTTTAGAAAACACTCATCCGAGTTGGTTTTTGATGAGCTGATTGTACAAAATTACCCGAAAACTTTTTGGAAAAGTTGTTTTCGCGTTGAAAAAGCGTTTTCGCACGCTTCATTTATTTCAAAGTGTCAAATTTTTTGTAGAGAATTGTAGCTCTTTATCTTGGCTACATTTATCGACTAATAACTTTCCAATCGGATGTATACAGCTCATTTAGCAAGCCCTTGAATGAGAACTTGAATGAGATCAATGATCGATAAATGTAGCGAAGCTAAAGAGCTACAATTCTCTATATATGTCGTAGCCGATTACGAATGAAATTTTTTGGCAAATCTTTCTAGTAGAGCAACCCTTTAATGTTTGAGGACAATATTATATTATATATTATATAAAATTGCCGGCGCAACGTTTCATTCAAAATCGGCGGGACCCCAGTAGCCGATTATGAATGAGTGGGTCTAGGAGCGTCCAACCATCAAGTATTTGGTATCATTCAACGCAGAATCATTAATAATTATGTTAAATTTTTAAAATTAGAAAGATTGAATAAAAAGAAAAAAAATTAGAGCAAAAAAACTGTTTGTTCACTTTGATAACTTTGAAGCCCCATAATTTTTTTTCTTTTTATCCAATCTTTCTAATTTTAAAAATTTAACATAATTATTAATGATTCTGCGTTGAATGATACCAAATACTTGATGGTTGGACGCTCCTAGACCCACTCATTCATAATCGGCTACGACATATAAAATTAAATTAAACAATTCTCTATATAAAACTTTGAAATAAATTAAGCCTGCGAAAACTACTTTTCCAAAAAGTTCTCTGGGTAATTTTGCCGAACTCTGTACTGTTTTTCTCTCAAATCTGTAATCTTTTTGATTACGGTAACTAACAAAAGGCTAGATTAACTGAATCTTTTGTATTTCTTTCCCTAATCATTTCTAAAACCCTTTCTCTTAATCGTAAAAACGTTCCCCTTTACCGTAATCTTGTCTCTATTTTTTATCCAATCAATTTAACTTTTTTTCTGATTGAGGATTCAATTTCTGATTTTTTGAGGATTCAAAAAGGATATCAAAAGAAAGAAAAAGCGGATAGATTGGGTAAAAATTAGACAAGATTACGGTAGAATTAGACAAGACAAGATTACGGTAGAAAGGGACACGATTAGAGTAAAGATACGACACAAATAAAGATTGATAAACTAAACCCGGTCCTTTTCTCTAGCGTCTACACTCAACCCCAGTTGCCTACTCAATTCTCGCCGCATCCATCTCTAAGCATCCATCCATCACCAAGCCAACACTTCTCACAAAATATCCATTGAGACGTTTACCATTTCGTGATCCGCCATACCGTAGTCATCGACGGGGTTTATTTATTGAAGAAATACCGCAAAGGAGGATCCGAAATTCGATTTACCCGGCCGATCTCGAGGAGAAGTTACACAATTTCTACGCGACACAAGCGGTACTTTGTGTACTTTTTGTACTTTATGTACTTTGTGATCAAAACTGTAAACCCACCCTTTCTGATGGACTGAAATCTTTATTTTTCTTACAGCAATGACTTGCTTTTTGCAAGAAAAATGAAGAATTCAGTGCGCTAGAGCGACTTGTGCTCATGGAGTGTGTTTCTATTGGGTTGGTGAATTGAAAACTGCCGGACTTTGAACTAAAATTTATTCAACATAAAACCATCAAATCATTCCAAATAATTTCCATTATTATTGACGACTTCTGCCCATTTTACAGGCAATTTGCGGAGGCAATTTCGTAGTAGGATTTTGGTTTGTGTGTGAGACAAGTGTGAGACTCAAAAATGGAGGACTGGAGATGCCCCAGTTTGGACCCAGTTTGAGCACTTTCTTCAAAAGAAACCCATTTTGGTGTCAATAGAAAAGTTGTAGAGAATCAAAAATTAGGCTTATAGCCAAATTTCCGAAAAGATACACTTAGTAGTTTCGCTTAAAATGCAAGTTTTGTGAAAATTCGTAAATTTCGCATTTCTTGAAAACCAAAATGAAAAATGAAATATTGATCAAAATACGGCTGGAAAAATGCCCGTACAGTAAGGCAGACAGAAAGACAGACAGAAAGACAGACAGAAAAACAGACAGAAAGACAGACAGAAAGACAGACAGAAAGACAGACAGAAAGACAGACAGAAAGACAGACAGAAAGACAGACAGAAAGACAGACAGAAAGACAGACAGAAAGACAGACAGAAAGACAGACAGAAAGACAGACAGAAAGACAGACAGAAAGACAGACAGAAAGACAGACAGAAAGACAGACAGATACCGTAACCCCCCCCCCCCTCCTTTTCCGTCAATTCGTTTGTGAAAATTCGTAAATTTGGCATTTCTTGAAAACCAGTTTTTGAATCGTTCTGAAAATTTGGATATAAGCTTAATTTTTGATTCTCTACAACTTTTCCATTGACACCAAAATGGATTTCTTTTGAAGAAAGTGCTCAAACTGTCACATATGACAATAGCCGGCAGTTTTCAATTCACCAACCCAATAGAAAGTTTTGAGCACAAAGTAACTATTGATAAAAATAGATAAAAATGTATTCAACCTAACTGTCTACTTATTAAACTTCTATTCACTGTTTAACTTGTTTCTAATTACTAATGTTGGTACTGTAATTGAGCTTGTTTTTGTCGAGCTTTGCCGAGCTTGTTTTTTTAACCGTTTAACTGTTTCTAACATAGCCATGATGTACAGGATTGTCCAGGATTACGGGGACTCAAAAAACTTGAGGATTTAAAGACCACCTTACATTAAAATGACACAAAAACAGCAAAAATTTATTGAAACCAAAAGAAAGACAAAAACTATATAAATTGTAAGCAAAAATATGCAATGCGATACCCGTAGTCCCCATAATTCTGGACAACCATCGTAAATACTGTAATAGTACCCCACCCCCTCGTACAGTCGCGTAGTCGCAAAAGTTTTTTAGTATTTCATTTCTTTCAAAGCGCCCGTACTTTCAAAAAATGTGTCTTTGGTATCAAAAAATAGCCCTAAATTTCAGCTATTTTTTGATACCTAAACGCGCATTGTAGCATAAACCAGTGTCGAGAAAAACGCGTTCAAAGCTAGACTACGCAACACTCCACACCGTCATTATGGGGGTGCGGTACTATTACAGTATTTACGGCATGTACTGTAGCCAATCAATAGCCAACTAATCAACAGTCGTTTTTGTGCCTTTTAGAAAACGAATTAGCTGAGTACAGTACAAAAAGTACTTTAAAACTAATTATATAAGTAATTTAGATATTAGTGGACTCTATTTAAGTAGCTTTTATCTATCTACTGTAGCTAACTAAAGCTTTTATCTATCTACTGTAGAATTTTCAGCAACCCCAGCGCCATCAACTCAAACACCACCGCCGTACACAAAGAAGCGTCAACTTTGCGGTAAAATTTACAAGATACAAGTTGGACAATTGACTCTAAAGAGTACTGTAGATATAAGAATTTTGATCCAAAATAGATCTAACTAGGGAATGTTGTTAACTTATCGTGGCTTTTGACTCTGGAAATAGCCTATCTGATGCAGTTTTTCACGCCGACTTCGAATCAGAAATCAGTTTTTGCTAAACGCTTCTCTATCACGAGATATTTGGCATACAAGTTTTTGGGCGAAGAGGTGGCGACGGATGGAACCATGTTGGAACCATATTGGAACCGTATCCGAACCATATTGGAACCATATTGAACCATGAGGGCGACGCACTGTCTTCAGTCAACGGCCTCGTTGGTGGAGTGGTTAGTGCGCGCGTATGCCCTTTTGGACCCCGAGGGTTCGAGTCCTCTGTCTATATTAAGGCAACCTTTCCTTTACTCTTTTTCACACATAGCACAAATCTACGCAATTTAACGTCAACCACTTGCATGACATCAAACTTTCAGTGAGCATCAAATAAAAACAGTGCGTCGCCCTCATAAGTCCGTCGCCCCCTCTTCGCCCAAAAGCTTGTATGCCAAATATCTCGTGATGGAGAAGCGTTTGGCAAAAACTGATTGCAGATTCGAAGTCGGCGTGAAAAACTGCATCAGATAGGCTATTTCCAGAGCCACGATAAGTTAACAACATTCCCTAGTAAGACGATTGTTCAAGCTTTAGGCAGACTCTTCTTGGTGGAATTCCTGAAAAACTTGAAAACTACAGATCTGAAAATGTTGAAAGCTCAAAACTGCATAGATACCATATTGGAACCATATTGGAACCGTATTGGAACCGTATTGGAACCGTATTGGAACCGTATTGGAACCGTATTGGAACCGTATTGGAACCGTATTGGAACCGTATTGGAACCATATTGGAACCGTATTGGAACCGTATTGGAACCATATTGGAACCATATTGGAACCGTATTGGAACCGTATCCGAACCATATTGGAACCGTATTGGAACCATATTGGAACCATATTGGAACCATATTGGAACCATATTGGAACCGTATCCGAATCATATTGGAACCGTATCCGAACCGTATTGGAACTAAATATAGAAATTTTATCTATATATAAGATATCTCAATATCTAAATATACAAAATTTCAGCCAAACTCGACCATTGACAGCCTGGACCCAGCAGCTCTGGCCATCGAGCGAGCGGCGATCATTCGATCTTTCGAGGCAGCTCTCGACTTTGTCGGAGCACCAAAAGTACTGTAAAACGAATTATATAAGTGGATTTAGATAGTAGATTTAGATTAGACTAAATCTTTATTAATATTTTATCTCCAGGACCCTCGAACTCCTGTGAAACAAGCGCTGAACGAGGTGCGAAGGGTGAAGAGACAGACTGTGTCTCGGCTTCGACCAGCTCCACCAGCCGTCTACCATGCTATTGCACCTGTTTACAGGAAGTCAAGGTATTCAGTTGAATGATTTTATTACTGTACTTTCGGTACCAATCTGATTGGCTAGATTTGTAGCAATTGGCCAAATTCAGCCAAGCCAAATTTGTACAGTAAGGGATTTTTTCCAAAACAAAACTCTCATGTCGGGTCGTATTTCTCTCTCGGTTTAGCTGCTGTTTAAGAGTAACACGATGGTTTAGCAGGATGTCGAATTTGTAGCAAAATTCAGCCAAATTCAAGGCAAAAATCGATCCCAGGCATACCGCATGATTACGCGATTAAGCACCGCACAAGGGTTGCCGTTAAAATTCGTCTCCTGACAATTTGTTTCGTTGAAATCCCGGCTTTTTGGGTGTTTTTCAATTGAGCTTTAAGCTGACGTAACTAAAGAAAAAAACGTATCGAAAAAATATTGTGCCTTTATTCAAACAATGAGAACAATGTTCTCATTGTTTGAATAAACAGTAAGTAACCTCTTTTCAGTAAAGCCGAGCAATTCTTAGTGAAAAGAACTGTTGGGAGATGCTTTCTTTATGATTGATCCTGCGGTGACATAAGGGTTGGCGCAAAAGGCTGAAACTGAAACTGAGGCTGAAAACGATGAGGAGGCTCTGTCGCTTACCGCTCCTTTCTCTTTACAGAGGGCAAGAAGCTGAAATTGAGGCTGAAAGCGATGAGGCGGCTCTGTCGCTCACCGCTCCTTTCTCTTTAAGGAGTCCTGTTTCTTTGCGAGGGGACACCTATCTATCGGGAGCGTGTGCCAGATGGAGAGCGATTACGCGGCTGCACAAAGAATAGAATAACACCATTTACCTAGGGATTTTTCTTTTTTAGATAGGCCTCAAAAGATATTTAGTGCTGTAAATTTGTACCCACGGGGTTTTCGGAGTCGGAGGAGTCGATTTGGAGCTATTCATTTTATTAAATCTAGCAAGTGAACTTAACTTTTGCATTAATCGAGTCTCCAATTTCTTCCCTCAACTCAATTTACGATCTAGAGATCTCAATTTACGATTTCAAGTTTTACTTTGATAGAGTCAGTGAATTTTGATGGTTGATAACTTGAAGCTAACTACAAATTTATGAAAATGGAAGTCTTAATGTTTACTTTTGCAGAGGCTCAGCTACTGGATCGTATTCCCCAGGATCGGGTCCATTAGTTCCACCCCCACCACCAGTGCAGGGAGCCCCAGCCCCATCACTTGCCCCTCCACCAGCTGATATGTGCTCCCAATGTCCGGCTGCTGATGCGGCTGGTGATCCGGCAAATCTCTTGAAGCAATTGGCGTCACACTTGGATTTGGTGAGTAGAGAACTGTGCATCTAGTTCGTAGTTCGTAGGAATACTGTAGGGTTTATGTAGCACAGACATCTTGAAAGCCGAAACTGATTTCTACTAGGAATGTTTCAATGGTTAGTTTAAACTAAACCAGCAGAACTTAAGCCAAGCTCCAGACTTCTGACCTGGCACTAGCTTATCAGGAGCAGCTTGCCTGGCTGGCTTACCAAGGCACTGGCTTACCAGGAGCAGCAGCTTGCTAAGCCAGCATGCTACTATCAGTTTTACTGGTGCGAAATCTATTAGAGTACATGTTAGGTCCGATTTTGAAACCATTCAAATCATTCTAATAGTTTATTCTTTTAAAAATCGTATATATATCTAGCGCCTAGCATCTAAAATATCAAGTCAATGTTTTAGAATAGCTTAGCATCTTAAATATCATCTTAAATATCTCCTAGCATCTTAAACATCATCTTAAATATCGCCTAGTTAAATATATCTTAAAAATTCAGAATCGCCTCAGCGATATGTACCTTTCAACTCAATTGATGAACACTTATGCTACAAATTGTGATTTCACTATCGATCTCGTTGGAGAGTTCTCTCCATATGGACAGGGTGAGTCAAATCATTCTAGTCACCCTGAAATTCTTCTCAAGAGTACCAGGCTTACAATTGTTCGCACTGATCGAAATTTCCGGTACCAACATACCATAATTACCTTGAAATACCATAATCACCTTGAAAAAAAAAGCTCACATTTCTAGGCGGTACCCCATTCGGTCCATTCCCCACGCAATTCCCTGGAACTTGTGATGGACACATGGCCGAGTTCATCTTGACCGATTACACTGTGAACTCGTTGTTCTACCATATGCATAGGTTGGTTAAGATTTGATTTAGATTTGATGTGGATTTGATTAAGATTTGATTTAGATTTTATTAAGATTTTATTTAGATTTGATTAAGATTTGATTAAGATTTTATTTAGATTTGATTTAGATTTGATTTAGATTTGATTAAGATTTGATTTAGATTTGATTAAGATTTGATTTAGATCTTATTAAAGATCTTATCTTATAGTATAATAAGATATAATAAGATAAAATAATATCATTTAAAATATTTAGAAAGGGCTTCATCTCATTCCGAATCGGGCCAGATACCCCGAAATTCGGTGAACTTTTGAAGACAACTTGCTCGGATGATGAAGATGATGAATTGGAAGATCATGGAGTTGAGGTACGGGAGATTACGATAGATTACGATAGATTACGGTAGATTACGGTAGATACGGTAGATACGGTAGATTTAACGGAGTATAGAAAGTAGAAAGATGCTTGGTCTTGGAAAATAGGTCAATCTAATGCTTAGACTGTTTGATTTTACTGCTGGCCTAGATAAGCTGGCCTACATAACCTGGCCTACATAACGTAGCCTAGATTTTTGCAACATACCAGACTATTAGTACTCCAAACAGTTTTTAATAGTCTTTTTTTATTGCAGCTAAAACTTATTTAAGCTTGACGAAGAGGACGAGGAACGGAAGAAGCGAAAGAGGAGGAGACACGCTATTCATGATGTGGTTGGTCTATGAATATGTTCAGTATTCACGACGACTTCTTTAGCTTAGCTTTAGATCGTAGATTAGATAATCTCAAGCGCCAAATTCAACCCTAATGTGCTAAGTGTTATATAAAATATTGAAGCCCTTAATCTTGGCTACATTTATCTCTTAAAAGTTTCCCGATTGGAGATATACAACTTCTTTTACAAGCTGTTGAGTGAGCGCTAGTCAACATGGCATTGAGAGATTGTTGATCCCTCTCCAGCTGCCATTTTTGGCGCTTTTCTTCATAAGGCGTACTTGTGACGCTTACAGCCATTTACAAGGAGAAAATTAGCATATTACGTACACTACCGTTTCGACCGCTTTCTATTTTCTTTATTTTTATTCTCTTACGGCTTTCTAGCTCTTTATCATTTTTAAAATGTAAATTGTGGCGTTAAATTCATGCAAATTGCAAATTTATCCCTGAGAAGATGGCCGCTGGAAGAGTCACAAGCACCATATTTAATTATAAGCTTTCAAAATTATGTTTAAAATCAATATTCATCTAAATTCATCTAAAAAAGATACAGCAAAAACTCCTTTTATCGTTTGTTTTGAGTGAACTTTGATTTACTTTCTGAACTTTCGAGATCCGAAAACTAAATAATAGGTTGATGCATAAGTCTTTTCGTTTTTTTCGTACTTCTGTTAAAAAGTAACAAATTCACCAATTAATCTATAGTTTGCTCTATAAAAAAAGTGTTTTTTTGTTCAATTTGCATCTTTTTAAATCAATTTCGGTTTACTTTCAAGCAAATTCGAGAGTGAAAAACGCCTTTTTCGTAAAAATCTATAAAAAACTCTACGGAAAAATTGGCTGAATGAATTTCTCTGAAATTTTGGCGAAATATCAAACTTTTTTCTCTATCTTTTATCTATTGACACGAAGATAGGTTTTCTTTAGCTAAGGTGTCTAAACCGCATCATCGAGTTAGCCCTTTTTGACTACCCGACTTCATACTCTCAAGAAAATCCAGGCATAAAATATTTTTAAACCCGTTTTAATGTTATTTTGCAGAAAAATAATTGGTTTTTCTAATGAAATCAACCGTAGTTTAATTGGTGCATTTGTTGGCTTGAAACGGCAGACGAAAAGGAACAAAAAGACTTATGCATCAACCTAATATGTACAGTTATTGTTAAAAAGAGGTCTATGTGGTGTATGCTGTAGTATTGTATTACTGTAGAACTACAGTACTCCAACATTTTCAGATTCACCACATCGCTGCCCATACCGTTTCAAAGAGAGCCCACAAGCACATTAGAAGACACAATGGAAAGAGAGGAAGAAGACAGGGTAAATCTTAATTTGGCTCTTTCCCTGAATAGTGGTCGTTTGAAAGTTTCGTGGTCTTTTAAAAGTTTCGTGGTCTTTTGAAATGGTTTTAACGTATTTTATTAAGTTCCACATGTACATTTAATCAGAATTTAAAGAACAATCGTAAGAACAACAATTTTGGTATCCCAGCAAAACGCCAGGCTTGACACGCTAGGCTTGGCACGCCTTGGGTTTCCTCGGACACACAAATGCTTGTAAAGCTGGCCTTCACATACAGCCAAGACAGACATCCTTGCCAACTTGACGATATCCTGTTGAGATTCTGAATTCTGAGTGATGTTGCCCAATGTCGGCCCCCTGAAGTGACCACGGCACAAACGAGAGGTTTTCTCTTTGTGTATGGATTTTTGCGGTAAGATGCAAAAGACCACGAAACTTCCAAAAGACCCCGAAACTTTTAAAAGACCATGAAACTTTCAAAAGACCACGATTCAGCGAAAGAGCCAAATATTTAATATCTAAATATTTGATCTTTAGATATATACAATCATTATCTAGATATTTACCAAGAAAATTCTATGATTAAACTTTTAGATGATGCTGGCGGTTTAGCCGATTTGGGCATCTGTTTCGGTGACATTTTGCCGGCCGTCCGCGAGAAGTACCCCAATCAGAAGATCAGGTACTGCCAAAAATCTATCTATATATCTAGATAGAGATCTATTCAATCTAGAAAGTTATGTACATTTAAAATATTCAGCATTTTGATTCACACAATCCGGGCCCCGTCCGTCGTTTTGTCTGGAGCCGGCGGTGGAACGGCGATCATCGATTTGGGAGCCGATGCGGATATCTACATTGATGGAACGAATAATAAGGTCGAATATCGAATAACGAATAATGTCGATAAATATCGTCTAGATAGTCTAGATAAATATTGTCTAAGTATAGCGTATGCCTAGCTACATCTGTATCAGCTGTATCTCTAGATAAGGAAAGGTAGGAAAGGTATAAAGCTATCGTAACCCTAACCGATTTTACAATGAGTTCTGAGCTCTTTACAATGAGATCTGAGCATTACCATAACCTTAATAAAGTAATGAATGGAACTTTTGGAACCAAGGGGTTAATTGAACCCTTGACCTACTTACCTTCTGCTTAACAAGCAGCTCTACCACTGAGTTATCGACGCCTTCTTTGCCCAAGAAATAGGAAAGACAAGGAAGAGAAAGGAAGAAAGAAAGAAAGGAAGGAAGAAAGAAAAAAAGAAAACTCTCAATTTTAAACAATTCCAGGTTGGTACAATCACGATCAATGCCGTTGTTCAAATCACTGCACAAGTTGCCGGCAATCGAATCAGTGGACATGCGGAAATCACCCAGCTACAACTTAGGTAATTTTTTTGTATTAATAATCAGCTTTTGTACTTAAGTGTTTAGCTGTTTATGCAAAGAAAGATAATAGTTAGCTTGAAAATCGTAGAGAATGGTGTAATGGAAGTGTTGAAAGGCAAAATTTGACTGACATCTGACAACGGAACCCCAGCTGGCATCTGACAACGGAACCCCAGCTGGCATCTGACAACGGAACCCCAGCTGGCATCTGACAACGGAACCCCAGCTTGATCTGACAACGGAACCCCAGCTTGATCTGACAACGGAACCCCAGCTGGCATCTGACAACGGAACCCCAGCTGGCATCTGACAACGGAACCCCAGCTGGCATCTGACAACGGAACCCCAGCTGGCATCTGACAACGGAACCCCAGCTGGCTATTGAGCTATTTGGCTGGAAACAGAGTTTCTAATCCAGAATTTCATGGTGATTCTGAATCTGTAATCACAATTTTCTAAAGTCACAAGTAAAAAAAGATATTCAGCTTTTACTTTGTGTAACATTTTTGGCAGCCGGCCCGTAATAACATCCTTTTCCACGCCGCCCCGTTAGCTACCTCGATGGCCTAGGGGTTAGTGCTTTTGCATCATAGGCGGACGCTCTCTCCTCTTGCAGAGGTTCGGTCCCCAATACGGTCGTCTTTTTGATCTTTTTGAGTCAAATTGATTTTAATAAAGCGGTTAGATAATGGACACCGTTCTAAGAGGCATACTTAAGATTTATCTCCAAGAAAATCAGTACAATTGACTGAATTTTGGCCAATCTAAACCATCTGAAGTGCGGCCAAACTAAACCATCTGAAGTGAGGCCAATCTAGACCTCTATAAGATGGTCCATTCTGTAACAGTACGTTACTAAAGTACTTGTAGTCATACTGTAGATCAATCTTTGATCTAAGAAGGGATTAGGAGAGCATCCTATACTCTCAAAAGTGATAAAACCTATAAACTGACTATGAAAGAATTTTAGGGACAATGGTGGCACTCTTGGACTTCCACAAGATGCCCTTGACAACCTTGGAAATCTCGGAAAAGAGCTTTTGACAAAGGTAGGGATTCGCTGAAGAAAGATTGATCAACTCTATAAATTCAGGGATAATTTTTTTATTGTTATCTATGCTTAGAGAGTCCTTAGAGCTCCAAGAACCGATTTTCAGCTTGCTAATGACGCTTTGGGCAAAGGAGTGAACATCAACTTGCCGAACACGGGAGCTCTGCCATTCCAAGTGTTGAATCCGCAGATTCAGGTAAGAGGGACTCTCCAAATAATCGTTTCGACTCAGACTCAGACTCAAATAACGTTTCGAAAACGTTTCTCCTTTCTTTTTCTACCGTAATCTTGTCTCTGAGTCAACAACGAAGCCAAGACTTGACCAGAAGCTAGATCTTGACCGAGTTTCGAGCCCGGATTGGCTCTGGATTAGCTTAGTTTAAAAATTAAGGCAGGATTTGGTCACCTAACAAAACTAGATCTTGACAAGAAAGATTTCGGTAGCCCGGTTTGATTAGAACATCCCTGGTACAGATAAGAAAACTAAACAAAACGGTAGTCGGAAAACGGGAACACATATGGTAAGTGTACTGTAGCAAGTACGATAGCAAGTACTGTAGCAAGTACGGTAGCAAGTACTGTAGCAAGTCCGGTAGCAAGTACGGTAGTAAGTACTGTAGCAAGTCCGGTAGCAAGTACGGTAGCAAGTACTGTAGCAAGTACTGTAGCAAGTACGATAGCAAGTACGGTAGCAAGTACTGTAGCAAGGAAAAGTACGGTAGCAACACTTGTACACTATAGAATCATACCGTAACCAATGGCGTACATTTTAGAGACAGTATAAATCGTATCGTAACCGAATCAAAGATATAAACCAATTCAGATTGTCGAGCACGGTCTCTACGTGGCCACCGACATTTCGATCAACGCGGCGGCTCTTGGCCTATCGGCTCCAAACTGTTGCCCGAGCTGTTAACTTCAGGATCTTTCCAATTTCAATTCCAACTCCGATTTCAACTCCAATTCCAATTTCAACTCCAATTCCAACTCCAATTCCAACTCCAATTTCAATTTCAATTCCAATTTCACATATTCAATTATCTAGTCACCAAGTTTTCCCCCTTTTAAATAATTCGCTAGTGCTGAGAATCTGAGTTTTCAAATTTCACCTCCAGATTCTCCCCCCGTTTTGGTGCTCAACTTTGGTGGTAGTAATATTGTGTATTTGTGCGTAATATGTTAATTTATGCTTTTGATGGGGTACGGTAGGTTTTGGAGAAAGGGATTATGGTATAAATCTATATGTTCGTCGGATATAGACTGATTCTAGATAGGACGTCGGATCAGAGTCGACTAGAGTGTAGTGAGGTCAAAAGTCCGATCTAGAATCACTCATCTGAACTAGTCCGATCACTTTGAATCTAAGTCTAGATAGGAGTTTGATTTAGAGCGATTAGCTTGATTCTAGATCGAACGCTTGATCTCACTTCATTCTAGATCGGACGGATTTCTAGCGGACGGATTTCTAGAGCGAACGAATTTCTAGATTGGACGGATTTCTAGATCGGACCTAACATATACAACAAGACCCATTGAAAAGAAACAAAAAGCTGGTTATAAAGCTTACAAGACATTTATAAGACAAATAGCTTATAGAGCTCAAGCCTATAGAGCTCAAGCCTATAGAGCTCAAGCCTATAGAGCTCAAGCCTATAGAGCTCAAGCCTATAGAGCTCAAGCCTATAGAGCTCAAGCCTATAGAGCTCAAGCCTATAGAGCTCAAGCCTATAGAGCTCAAGCCTATAGAGCTCAAGCCTATAGAGCTCAAGCGGCATATCTCAAAAATGGCATATCTCAGCCGATTTCCCTTCGATCTTTTTGATTTTTAGATCAATGAACGCAGAATTTCATTTTCTAGCCATTGAAAGTCAATTATTGATTGAAAAATTGAAAGATTGAAGTGGAATTGGATGAGGAACCGACCAAGGGATTGGCCAAGAGATTGGCCAAGATGATCAAGTAATGGGCCAAGAGATTGACCATGAGATTGGCCATGAGATTGGCCAAGATGTTCAAGAAATGGGTCAAGAAATGGGCCAAGAAATGGGTCAAAAAATGGGCCAAGAGATTGACCATGAGATTGGCCAAGATGACCAAGAGATTGACCGTTGGACACCTATTGACGTTCGCACCAAAAATTCCCAAATCTACTAGTCAACCTTTATCAAATTATCTGCTTTTTAGGAAACACAAGAACAATTCTCTACAGTAAATCGGCAAATAGGTATTCCACATTATTTCAGAATTAGTATCCCGGTTTACCGGCTTTCTGTAGTACTTCGGGATACCGGCTTGCTCTGGGATACCGGCTTGCTCTGGGATACCGTAGTGAAGACTAGGGTTTATTGTAGTTCCAAAAATCACCGTATCCCCTCAAGAACACCATTGTTTTTAATGTTTTCTGTACGACTACGTGTACTACGTCTGTCACTTTTCCTAAAAAAATTACTTTTTAAGCTCAAATTTTCATTTTTTCATTTCCCTTTCTTCCAGATCCTCTCCACACAAAAATTCCACTCAATTTTGCTCACTTTCCCACTATTTCTTGAAATCTTTCTTTAAAAATCGATTAGATTTTGTAATTTTCAAGTTTTTCTACAAAATTCAACAAAATTCTACAAAATTCTCTGTAAATTTTTGCTCTTTTCAGAGAAAAATTATTGCCATGAAGAGAATTTTTGCGTTTTTTCTTTTCTTTGAAAATTTTTAAGAAAGAGAATAAAGTTTCTTATGGATTTAACAATAAAAAAAACAAAATTTAACAAAATTTAACAAAAACAATACATCAATAACAGTAACATTTATCAATTTGCATAAGGAAAACGCCATTTACTTTTTACGCCAGACAAATTTCCAAATTTGCATTTAAACCTCTATTTAAACTAACGGGAAATTACTAAAATCATTTTTTTCTTATTCTTTGTTTTTCTTAATTCATTGCTTAAAAGATGTCCTGCTGCGGAAACGAAAAGAAAAAGAAAGTCAGAAGTTTCTAAACATTTTTCAAGGCGATAAGGGTTGCGGGGCCAGTGGGCGGATCCTTCAAAATGCCCCTGGCAAATGCCACGCTAAATCGATTGGTAATATAATGTGTTTGTGATTTATTTCTTTTTGATCGAGGTAGATCTACCTTATGTTTGGTAACAGGCATCCAGACTATAGTAGTAGGAGGGCATTTCGCAACTTTTAACAACATTCAAGGCTTCTATATTTACTTAGACTTTGGCTTTGCACCTTAGAGGCACGTGGCTCCTCCTACGGGTGAGGCTCAGGCTCAGGCTCAGGCTTAGGCTTAGGCTCAGGCTCAGGATCAGGCTCAGGCTCAGGCTTAGGCTTAGGCTTAGGCTAGGCTCAGGCTCAGGATCAGGATCAGGCTCAGGCTCAGGCTTAGGCTTAGGCTAGGCTCAGGCTCAGGATCAGGCTTAGGCTTAGGCTTAGTACACTTTCGGAAGTGCATGGCTTCTAGCTCGAACGAAACTCACCTCAGTCGTAAGAGAATCAGGCGATAGTCTAGGTAGTACCGGAAGTACATGGCTTCTAGCTCGAACGAAATTCACCTCAGGAGAATCAGGCGATAGCCTTAAGAGCCACGTGCCTCTAAAGTGCGAAGCCAAAGCCTAGGTAAATGGCACGCGAACAACGAAGAAGCGATAAATGGCACGCGAACAAATAGGGAGGTACGTAACACTAGACCGTTAACAACACTTGAGGCAGCATCAAGCCTATGCTCAGCCAGTACTCTGAGCCATAGTCTAGTATAAGCTTAGTGTAGCAAGAACAAGCTCTGAAAATATTAACAATCGATTTAGCGTAGCCGAAAACCCTAGAAAACTGTTTTTGGCACATGCCAGAGGCATTTTTGAAGCCCCGCCCTGCCCCAACTCCTATAGCCCAATTTTTCTTATTATTTTGAGTTCCTTTTGTTATTCTTTTACTTTATGGCAAGGTTTTTAAACTTTGATAGAACTTTTGTTGGTATTTGACACTTAAAACAGTTTTACATGTAAAAGTTGACATGTAGACGCTTGAATAGTGCTCTTATCGGATATTTTATTGTTGAAATCTCCGTGTCCAGCCAGTCGAGGCTGAACATCAATGTCTGGACAGCCGGTGGCTGGACAGAGACGGTGCTTCTATTTTTCGAAGCTTTAAAGATCGGTGAAGCTTGTAAAGCTGAAAACAACCACTTTTAAAGAGGAATTTTCTAATAATAAGATTAATTTATTCATTAGTAATTAGTAAGTTAACATTAGTATCAAATTTAACAATGGAGCCTTTATATTCTCCCATTTTTTTCCTGTTCCTGATCCTGTTCCTGATCCTGTTCCTGATCCTGTTCTTGTTCCTGATCCTGATCTTGTTCCTGATCTTGTTCCTGATCCTGTTCCTGATCCTGTTCCTGATCCTGTTCTTGTTCCTGGTCCTGATCTTGTTCCTGCTCTTGTTCCTGATCCTGTTCCTGATCTTGTTCCTGATCCTGTTCCTGATCCTGTTCCTGATCCTGTTCTTGTTCCTGATCCTGATCTTGTTCCTGCTCTTGTTCCTGATCCTGTTCCTGATCTTGTTCCTGATCCTGTTCCTGATCCTGTTCCTGATCCTGTTCTTGTTCCTGATCCTGATCTTGTTCCTGCTCTTGTTCCTGATCTTGTTCCTGATCTTGTTCCTGATCCTGTTCCTGATCCTGTTCCTGATCCTGTTCCTGCTCTTGTTCCTGATCCTGTTCCTGATCTTGTTCCTGATCCTGTTCCTGATCCTGTTCCTGATCCTGTTCCTGCTCTTGTTCCTGATCCTGTTCCTGATCTTGTTCCTGATCCTGTTCCTGATCCTGTTCCTGATCCTGTTCCTGCTCTTGTTCCTGATCCTGTTCCTGATCTTGTTCCTGATCCTGTTCCTGATCCTGTTCCTGATCCTGTTCCTGATCTCCGTCCAACATTCAGTCAACACTGCAACAATTTCCGAGAATATATTGTACTTCTGGTTAAGTAACAATATATTGTACTTATTTTTGAGTAAATAGAAATGACTTTCAAAGTTTGGCGCTCATTTTAATCACTCGCTTATTTGAATAGAGCCAAATTTTCTATTTGTTTGTTTTATTTGGAAATTTTCCGCATTATCACTTGAAATTGAGCATTTTGGAGAGTGAATTTGGCTTCAAACGCCATCGACAAACAAAGGAAATGCAAATTTCCGAGAAAGTTTAATGGCTGAGAGGCTGAGATTAGATAAGGCAAAGGATTCGACTTCTGGAACACTTCTAGAACTTCTAGAACTTCTAGAACTTCTTTTACTTTCAAATTCAAAGCTCCTCTGTGTTACTATTGGTTTTTGATTCTGGGAAAAACGATTTTTGTGTTTTTTTTCCGTTATTGAGTCACGATAATTCCCTTTTTTGTCAATAGAAAACCTTTTTGAATTCGTTTTTTAAAATTTCCTTTGTGAACAGTGATCAAAAGATTTTGTGTATAAAATAGGTTTTGCTGAAAAAAAAATTGACTTTTAGTGATTCTCTGGTCGTAGATTTGGTGATTTTCTTGTTGTTCTTTAGCAGAATTGCCTTTGCAATGGACTTTGTGCTCAAGAATGCAAATGCATCCCTTTCTAGCGCACTGAAATCTCTTGCAACAATGCTTGGCTTTACGGGAAAATGACCGTGGAACTAGTGCGTCAGAGTGCGTCAAAGTGCGTCAGAGTGCGTCAGGAGTGCGTCAGAGTGCGTCAGAGTGAGTCAGAGTGCGTCAGAGTGCGTCAGGAGTGCGTCAGAGTGCGTCAGGAGTGCGTCAGAGTGCGTCAGTGTGCGTCAGAGTGCATCAGAGTGCGTCAGGAGTGCGTCAGAGTGAGTCAGAGTGAGTCAGAGTGCGTCAGAGTGCGTCAAAGTGCGTCAGAGTGCGTCAGGAGTGCGTCAGCGTGAGT